CCCACCGGGTCCGCAGGGCCCAGGGGCGGCGCTGTCCGCACGGGGCGCTGGAGCTGTCGCAGCAACAGCACCGGAGAGGGTTAACGCAAGGACTGCGGCAGACGGGAGACCCAGAAGACACGCTCTCCCACTCCGGGAGTCTGACTGCAAAGGCCCGGGCGAGAAGTGGACCCCGCGGCTCGCCGCGATGCGCACTCGCAGCCGGCGCAGAGTCAGGCCGATCCGGTTGGATGACGGCTACGGCGCCTGCCAAGGGCTAAAAAGCTCTTGGCCCAGGGGGTGGGGCCTAGCTAGGGAGTGGGCGGGGCTCACTGGTTGGGATCCGAGCGCGGCGCTGGGACCTCGTGGAGGGCGGTGCGCGCTGCTCGCGGTGTGGAACTCGCGGCTTCTGAGCGCCGGCTCCCTCTGCCCGCACCCTTTCTCTGCCGGCCGGCGCTTCAGCTTCAGTTTTGCTCTAGCCTGGAGACTTAGTGAGCAGGTAACAGGAAACAATCGAGGACTCGGAGCAGGGGTGCGGGGAGAGGGTAAAGGGAGTTGAGAGGCACACGAACAAGCTGGGGAGAATTCGAGGGTGGAGATTCATTAAAGCGCCCCTGGGTTGAGCGGTGTTGGGAACTAGCCTGCTCGTCTGCTCCCTTCAAAATCTTAAAATCATCCTTTCCAGGCTTTCCCAGTCTCCACTTCGGGACTGTTTGCAGTTAGTAGGGAATTCGTGCTCTTGCCGATGGCAGCTTTTCCAAATCCGGAGACTACGGTTTGTTCAGGCATTAATCATCGCCGCAGTTCGCAGCTAAGGGCACACTATTAAGATTCTGCTTTTCCTAACTGTTGGCCTTTTACCCTGTATCGTGGGGGAGGGGGCTAATATGGTTTGCCTTATTTTCAAAGAAATTATCTGTATACTTCCCAACGCCTTTTTTTTTTATGGTTAGTTTTTCTGCTCTTGGAAGAGAGCAAAGAAAGTTGGTGGAGAGGCTCAAACTAAGGAACGGAGGAGCGTCTCATGGCTATAGAAAAAGTGATGATGCCTGGGTGTGGCCAGCCAGCCGCATACACTACCCCCACTATTAACTTCGGGGCCCTCTCCTGACTCTCCACCTATTGAAGCCCTGTATAGGCATCAGAAATTCCCCTGAGTACTTGACTAACCTCCCTACTTAGTCAGGAGAAATGCTGGAGACCCATGAGACAGCATTATAGAAGATAATTAGGAAAACCTTTATTGTGGCAACTTCTAATAAGCCTTCATAGAAGGAGCTCCACTATACTCCTAGAGTCTGTGATGGGGATGCGGCCTTGATGACTATTTGGCTAATCTAGGTAGAAGTTACTCAAGCAACTCAATTGAAAGTTAGCTTTATGCACAAGTGCCTGAGCTAGGTGATGTGTGAAAAACCAAACTGTAGAAAAAAGTAATAATCTGGATCTTCAAGATCTTCAGGGAGGCGAATGTCTGTACAACTACTGCACTGTATTTCTTGTTCAGAATGCCCTTGAGTATTAGGCAACGTGAGATCTGTACCTCAGGAAGTAAAAACCAAGTGCAATAAAGAATGAGGATCGAAGGGATTGTTGAGTGGCCTTTGAGCTGGCCTTAAAAGTTCAACTAGGGGGACCAGCAGTTAGCATAATGGCTATGTCGCTGGACTCCCATGTAGTTGACCGCGGTTCGCATCCCGGACCCGGTGGCTTAAAACTGACGCCGGCTTAAAACTGACGCCGGGCGCGTGTGCGGGCGTGCCCAAGATCCCAAGAGGAGCATGGAGGAGAAGGGACTGCAGCGTGGCCATCCCCCCTGGGGGGGTGATTTCTCGCTTTCTGTCTCTCTGTCTGTCTCTGTCTGTCTGGCGAGCGCACGCACCCTATGGCAAAAAAACCTCTCCAAAAAGAAAAAAAAAAAGTTCAACTAGGAAGGGCATTCTCAACAAGAAATACAGTGCCTCTGTAGTTGGGAGTGTTTTCCTCTATGCAGAGGGGACCCGCTAGAGGTAAAATGGATTGCTATTTACACCAGGCCATGAGCTCAGCAGTAATTCACCCAATAGGGGCCTGATGGCAGTGAAAGTTACATTCTGCCAGGCTGGACCATGTGGAGAGTTCTGGTTGGCATCTGGAGACCTCCCTGAGCACACCAGGCGTGTGCGTACCCATGATCGGGGCTAGCTGAGGGCAGTGGTGAACTACAGCATGAAGACCCTGCTGGGGATGTTGTCTATGTCCTTCTCTTGCTCATGGAATAAATAAAAAAACTTAAAATGTATTCTACAAAGATGAGCAGAGAGTGGATTGAAAGAGGTCGTCTGACTGAAGGAGGTGCATTTGTTCTATTTTAGAGGTCCAGGGAGAGACATGAGGGTCTGAACTAAAGCCGAGAGAAGGAAGGGATCCATAGGGAGAGAGCACAGCTGATGGCTACTATGCGGTGACAGGAGGGGCAGGGTGGCTGTCAGGCTTCTGACGGGCAGTGCAGGGGCCATGCATCAGGAAAGTTCCTGTGACCTGCCTTTCCCAGTCTCCGTCAGCTTCCATGCCTGGTTCTTTCTAGTCAGTTGTTCACTGAGCTAACGTGTCAGGAACTGGGTGCAGCCTGCAGGACCACACATTTACCTCTCAGTGGCAGTTTGTAAAGTGTTACCCCTAGGAGGAATCTCAGCGATGAGCTCAGCCTCTGCCAGGAGTTCGTTTTTGTTGCTGATAGAACTGGCTTTCTCATCTCAGCTCTTGGGCGCTTGAACTACAGCCATTTTCAAACCTCTCAGAGAACAGTTCTGAAGAGGAGTTTTCTGGAGGCAATCAGACATAGCGGGGCAGTGCTGCTGACTTTGCCTATTTACACAGACATAGCGGGGCAGTGCTGCTGACTTTGCTTCTTTATGCTTAGTCTATTTTGCACTGACTCATTTACTTCATCCGCTAAAGACATCCCTGGGATTCAGATGGTATTCAACTAGCCAAGACATGTGCTTCAGGCAGCTACAGGAGATGACGGGATAATGGAAAGGTTTTCGATGCCTTCATCTTGTTTTGCTTTGTTAGGAATTCATTGTGTGCCCTTAACTAATGGGCTAACCTGTTTGGGCCTCACTTTTCTGTAAAATAGGTTTAATCACAGTGGTTCTAAATTTAGATTTCACATTTTCATCTCCTGGGGATGACTAAATTCTTCCTGTAGAGATTCTGATTTTATTGTTCTGGGATGAAGCCTGAGCTTCCTTTTTTATTCATTTATTTGTTTTTAGGTTTTTGCAATAGGGCATGTGTGCTCACCAGAGAATACAAAGAAAGGGAAAGTGAGAAATCACCCCCCAGAGGGGGATGACCACACCATAATCCCTTCTCCACTCTTGGGATTTTGGGCATGCATGCACACGCATCTGGCGTGAGTTTCAAGCCACTGGGTCTGAAACTCAAACCATCAGGCATGTGGGATTCTAGTCTCTTAACTACCATACTGGCCTTTGGGCTTTTTTTTTTTTTTTTTTTTTAAGTTTCCTGATGATTCCTCTGTGCAGCTAGATCCCAACTTATATTTCAGAAAGTTCAGGAGAGAAAAAAAAAAAAAACAATAAGTAAGCTGACTGAATTGTACTTTTGCAGATAAATTTCTTCATCGAACCATAATCCATAAATAAACAAATAGTGACAGCTTAATGTTAATTGTGGAGCCATTAAGTATGCAAAGCATTGTGCTGGACAGTGGGGGTTATAGAATCTGCTGTCAGTGTAGCTAGAGAAGTCAACAAAAACACAACTGAAATGCCTTTCCTTTGGGGAAAAGTTCCTTTTTCCCTAAAAAAGGCATTAGCTGTATTTCTTTCAGAATTAAAGAGTATAGCAATATTTCTGAAGGGATCTCAAAAGGTTCATGGAAAAATGAAATTAAAGTACAAGTTTATTTTGGTACAAAAAAAAAAAAAGCCTTTAAATTCATGTGTTATTTTTCACAATGTGCATTTTCTTTCTTTGTCTTAAATTCCCAGAGTGCATGCACCCAAAGACGGACAGAGGCAGAAAGCATCCCTCATTGGGGCATAGTCAGGCATAATCCCTTCTCCATTTCTCCATCCTATCAGGATTTTGGACACACACATCCTGGTGTGTTTTTCAAGTCACCAGGACTGGGATTCAGTCCTCTGTTGGCCATGTGAGATCCCAGCCCCCTTAACCTCTAGGCTGCAAGTCTGGGCTGATAACAGGCATCATCATGAACTTTTTGAAGACTGCTTATTTTACCTCAGTTTAAAAAAAAAAATCCATATAAGGGGAAAATTTTTCAGAAGCAAGATAGGATGAAATAACCATTTTAGATGTTGAGGATTTTCTGTTTGTTTTGTTTTTTGTTTTTGCTATAGGGTGCATGGGCTTGCAGAGAGAGGGAGAGAAATCATGCCTAAGGGGATGCGATCTTGTCTCCTCATTGTCTTCTCAGTATTTTAGACACACATACACATACACATGGTAGGATTTTCAAGTTCTGGTTCAGGGACTCTTAACTGTTGTATTGGCCTTGTGGATCCAGGACCTTAACCACTATGCCACCTGCTGGTCTAATGTTGAGAAATTTAAACTGGATCTTTTTTTCTTCCATGAACAAGAGAAAGAGAGAAACAGCAACCCCTAATAGGTATTGACGTCACAATCTACCCCCTAGTCTTCAGCCCCCGGATCACGAGCAGGTGTGTGCATGGTGTACTTTGGGAGGTCACCTGCCTTGAACCAGGAACCCTCTCACGAGATTTCTCACAGAGCCTCATGTTTTACTGCTGCACCATATTATGGTGAGAAGGATGCAGGCAGGAAGAGGCAGAAAGTTGCAGTGGAGAGATTTTTTTTTTTTTTGGAGAGGTTTTTGCTATACGGCATGTGTGCTCACCAGAGAGACAGAGAGAGACAGAGAGAAAGTGAGAAATCACCCCCCCAGAGGGGATAGCTACACCGCAGTCCCTTCTCCTCCATTCTCTCAAGGTCTTGGGCACACATGTACGCGTGCCCGGTGTGAGTTTAAGCCACCAAGTCCAGAACTCGAGCCGCGATCGGCTACATGGGAGTCCAGCGACATAGCCATTATACCAACTGCTGGTCCCCGAGAGTTTGGTTGTTAAGAGGTAATTGCTGTCTAATAATAGGTCAGGAGGACAGCTTGGAATTTATCTTGAAAGGGCCCTGGATATTCAGATAGGCAGTTTGGATTTAACGCACTAGCCAAGAGGAAAGATGAGAAGAGGAGCATCATCACAGCTGTAGTTTAGAGTAAATAACATGGAAGGATCAGTTAAACAGGAACAAGACACTACCGTAAATTTCCAGGGAATCAGGAATGGGGTAGAAAGGAGCTGAGAGGGACTGTAGTAGAGAAATTGCAAAGGAAAGGACATTTTGAAGGAAGAATTCGATGATCCATTTGGTCATGGCTCTCTGGCTCCTAGCACAGTGCCTGGAATGCTCAGTATTGATTGAATGACTCAATGAAATTGGGCC